TTTTTTTTTTTTTTTTTTTTTTTTTTTTTTTTTTTTTTTTTTTTTTTTTTTTTTTTTTTTTTGTAAACATCATGGATAACACATCCTTTTGTAAATTTTTAATCATCAATGAAATTGTCTCATATAAAAAGGTATACATATATATATTTTGCGGTTGTGCCTTTTATTTCCAAAATATGGTGTTGCATGGGCAGAGCTTTAATGTGTTGCAATGGTTGAAGAAGAAGATAGCCACCTACTAGCTTTCTCAGTTGTGCTCATGTTTCGCTAGTTAGGGTTGTTTTTGCTGTTCTTTTTTGCTACTATCGGTAGTTTTTTAGTTCAAGAATATGACTTATCCTCTTTTCTTTTCATTTTTTGTTAATTGTTTTTCTATTAATAGAATTGTCCTGCTTCTGATGAGAACCATTTTAAGTAGAACAAGTTCTCTCTTTACTTCATGCCATTGATTGGGTATTCCGTTTTATTGTATCTTAGAGATTCTGCTTAAATTATTCCTCTTCCCTATTGTAAGTCCCAAAGTTATACTTTTCATATCATCATATGAATGTCTTTTTTTATGTAATACTATAGACCAGAAATTACTTTATTTTTATTTAGATCTTAATTTATCAGTTTTTTTTAATCTGAAAATGTAACTACTTCTATTATGATGTAGGGAAGAGAAATAAGCATTGCGGAGAAGACAAATTATCTTGTTTTTATGATTAATGCCTTTCAGGTATATGGCATGTTTATTTCAATTTAATTTTGAACAATTACTTGCTGTTTTATCAAAGGCTACCATTCATTACAGTACCCAAATAACCTTAGTTTTGTGATGAGAAGGATGNAAAAAATCTCTCTCTCCCTCTCAAAAAAAAAAAAAAAAAAAAAAAAAAGGAGAGACCATATAAGAATTGCTCAATTATATCTTTAATTTTATGAGAATTGAAAGTCTCAAGAATACTAAGAACGCTAATCCAACAAAAGGCAATTGAAAAACTAATGATCGGTAATATCGAATATGGCAATCTTCCTTGCACCTAATACACAAAATAGGAGAAGTCGAAAAACTGAATTTGGACTTAATCTGTTGTGTTGACTGTTCACAAATTACAGCTCATAATTCAAGAGTATATAATGAGTTTTTTCCCTCCGAATTGCTTTGGAAAGCATAGGGCCTGTTTATGCATGTCAATGTTACTATTTACCTTTAATGAAATGAAATAAGCTAGTGGTCAATAATTTTTCTAGGCTGGTGACCGTGTTTCTGCCAACATCTCCCTGTATTGTTCTTCTTTTATATCTTGTTGATTTTTGAAAACTAACTTCTGCAGAGCTTGGAGGATGAGATTGTCAGTGAGACTGTATTGAGAATAGCAGGCCTGCAGTCTTGGCACAGTTTATCTTATGGCCGTTTTCAGGTATGACATGTGCTCTGTTGCTAATCTTTTCTTGCCTTTGGAATGTGTAACAACAAATTTCTCTACCATTAATCTGCAGATGGAGCTTTGCCTTAATACTGATATAATAAAGAAATGGAAAAGGATGATAAAGAGAGAGGCTAAAGAGTTTATTAAACGAGGGGAAGTTTATGATCCACTGTCAACTCTTGAAGTGAAGTTTTTAAGAAACCTCATTGAAGAGTTCCTGGAGGTTGCCTGTCTCTCTGATTTAGATTATTTTTGTAATTTTTGTGCAAATCTTGACTATTATTTCTCTTATCTTTGGGAACCAGGTTTTGGATGGTGAAGTGTTCCCTCAAAGTAACTCAGGTGATGAAAATGATCAATTTGTTGCCAATGGATTGATAGATGGAGACAATGCTTGCATTTTGTATTGTGAGAGGTTCATGGAGTTTCTGATTGACCTTTTAAGTCAACTCCCTACAAGGAGGTATACTTAACTGCTGTGTCCATGATATTACATCCTTTGTTTGAATTTAAATCTTGATAAATGGAATTGTTCATAGTTTAATTTTTGATGGATCGATGTGCAGTAGGTCTTAATATTACTTGACCAGTTATGAAATGATAATTTATCCTCTCTCTCTCTCCCTCTCTCCTGAGATCTGTTAGCCTTCTTCTGTTGTTGGATTTCTCTCTATTATAGTTGACCTTCAATAGTTTTCCTTTTGCCCAAAAGTTGTTAATTTTATTTAAGTTTTATTTTCCCCCAATTTGCTGGTGAATAAACTACATAAATGGACTCTATGCGTATTGTGGCAGTTATCTCTGCATAGTGATTATTTATTTATTTATTTGTTTTGTTTGTTTTGATGAGAAACAAGAAATGTATTAGAGAGGGCCAAACCAAGGGCC